ACATGTGGGATCCGAACCCTCGGGCGGCAGCGCTGCCGCGCCTCCTAAGCGGCGCACTATCCAGTGCGCCACTGGGCCGGCCCGATGCCTGCAGTGGGCAGGCCTTTTGAAATTTGCCCTTTGCCTCACCTCCCTTCTATAATTCATTTTTTCCCCTTCATTCTTTTTTTCTGATAGTGCATATTACTTGAGATTTTCCTGGAGAGGTTGTGGCTATCTGGAATTGGATCTTCTGCCACCCACAGCTTGAATCCCTGTAGACTAGTAGCTACCCTAGAGCTGGTAGATTCACATGGAGCCTAGATCTCCTCACAGTTAAACCTCAGCAAACTCAAAAGGAACGTTTTAAAAAATATGTCTGTTTGTACTATACATATAATAATTAGTATAAATACAAAATGATCTGGCTAACTTTAGCTGGGCTTGGGTAGACTTTCCTGTGGATCAGATAATTTGAAATGAAAAAAGTAGGAGGACTCAGTAGATTTGCTTATTATTCTTCAAGTCTTTTATATTTATTCTTTACCTTTGACTCGTCTTAGTCTACAGTAGAATGTTCCAGAAATTTCATTGGGTATACTGATTTGGCACAAACTTATTTATGGGTCCGCTTGGAGTGTATTTTCCTTGGGCTTCAGTTATATGACTTCCATAAATTTTAATTACACTAGTTAGATGTGTGGAGGTTTAAGCCCAATTGGATTCCTAACCCTGTTCAGCTGCCTCTGTCATTAGTTTTTTCAGTGACGTGATTGGGCACTATTTTCCAATATGTTTTCAGGAAACTGGTTTTAAGTTAAAAGAGAACTTGTCTAATAAAGCTACTAACATTTAACTAGTTTCTTTACCTTCTTGGAGAATTGGACCTGAATAAAATGAATACATTTAAACTATAACTTGTATTACCCCCCTTTTTTTACCCCGTAACTGCGGATTTTCAGATCAGTCCAGTTCCTGGAGAAGGAGTCATGCTGGATCCTCCAGCCAGGCTGATGAGTCCTTGTGCTCATGTCTAGTTAGGGTAGAGCCTGACTTGGCACATGGCCAACGGGTTTTAACATGTGCGCCAACTTCAGGCAGATGGTGGTACCTTCGTGGAACATGGTGTTGAGAAGGATTTTGAGGTCCGGACCCAGCAGGCAGGGCCTTGATTAGTGCGGTGTACCCTGGGCATGGAGGGGAGTTGTCTCAGGACTCCTGCCCTGCATTTGCCATTCCCGTTTTAGTGAGGAGCGTCACATCGATGCCTAGTACAAACTCCTCACAATTCTGAGGCCAGTTAAATGTCCAGGCCAGGCCAGGCTGCAGAGGAGGCAGCTGTCTGAGAGCCGTGGGTGCAGTTTGAGTGAGCATCAGAGCATCTGGAGGGCTTGTCAGAACCCACATTGTCAGTCTCCATCCCCAAAGTGTCAGATTCGGTGGGCCTTGGCTGGGGCCTGAGATTTGCATTTGTAACAAGCTCCCAGGGGATGCTGAGACTGCTGGTGTGGGCCCCTCACTTTGAGAACTGCTGCCTTCAAGGATACAGGGCTATGGGTGCCCCCCTGCTTACCTGTTCTCACAGCCTTCTGTGATCTCGAAGAAGTCTTTGGATTTTGTTTTGGGCGTGTGTGCCAAACTCTGTCCTCCAGAGCATCGGGTACAGGTTGTATCTGGCATTCCTAGTTTATACCTGGAAACAGATATCCCTCATTGTTAGCCCTACCTGAAGGGCTTAAAACATTCTAGTCCTTGTTTCAAAGGATGCGTTAAAAATACAAGCCACATCTGCTTCATTTAATCTGCATTCAGCACCACTGCAGGACATAAAACGTGACACAGTCTGTTTGCCAGGCAAGCACTTGGAAATTTAGGGGCATGGAAATTGACAAGAGTCTCTGCTTTTACATCTGAGCATTTGCATGCTCGTGTAAGAGATGGACTGGTTCGCGTGCAGCCAGCACTCGCACTGGCCGGGCCGCCTCTGGTTCTCTCGTGCATGGGCTGCCGTGTGTGTGCACTGAGTAATGCACTCAGCCTTTGTTGAGTGCCTGCTCTCTGCCATGGCTTTGAATTCACATATGGCCAAGGTCTCTGGTGCAGGCAGGAACACACGGAACCAGGAGATGTGGGCACCAGGCTTCACAGGTGTCCTCTCCAGAAGCCTGGCTAATGGTGCGTCTCCCTCCTGTTATTTTCTCAAGGCATGTCAGTGGTTGGGTACAGTCCAGGATGCATCTCTCCAGTGCCCAGTGCACTGTGTAGCTACTGATGGTGGGGGGGAAGAAGTGAGCTGGCTCCCACCTGCTCTGGGACAGTTTCACATGGGGAACCAGGAATCCGTAATAGCGGTATGGGCATGTTGAGGACCGCTAGCCATTTTTTGGGGGGGGTGGCCGGCCGATCGGGGGATCCGAACCTGTGACCCTGGTGTTACAAGGCTGTGCTCTAACCAGCCAGCTCTGACCGCTAGCCTTTTTGCCAGTTCTTTGAAACAAGCCAGATGTGGTTGTTGTCATCTCGGATCTCAGACTAGGGGAGATTCTGCAAAGGACTTACGCACGGTTTTTATGACCCATCGTTTCCAAATCCTTTTAAGGTTCACTCTATGCAAGGATTTCACTGTTCAGCCAAGTGAGTTCACAGAATCAGAGTGATGGTGCTGAGAGTGTGTGAAGTCGAGTTTTTCAGTTCATTGATTTTCCCGCCTCTCTCCCCCTCTCACAGAGTCTGGAATATCCAGCAGCAGCTGGCCCAGCTTGACAATGAGTCCTGGCCAGGCATGGCCGAGGCGGACAGGGACCGGTTGCAGCTGATCAAGGAGAAGGAAGCCCTGCTTCAGGAGCTGCAGCTCATCATCCAGCAGCGGCAGGCAGCGGGAGACGTGGCGCGGCTGGAGGAGGAGCGGAGGCGCCTGGAGGAGGAGATCCAGCGTGCGCGGGCCACATCCGCGCAGGGCGCCACCGAGAGGTGCGCGGGCTTCTGGCTGCCAGGGCGGACCCTGGGGCAGAGCTGCACTGGCCGGCTGCCTACGGCTTGAGGATGTTCTGGCCTGGGGCTTTCCTTACCAAGGAGAGGGGTGGGGGAGGCGGGGGGAGGTGTGTCTTGCACCTGCAGTAGGGGCCAGCTCCTCGCAGGGCTCCCGAGGCTCCTGGTGCCTGTTCAGAAGTAGGAGGTGACCAGAAGGGTGGAGGAGTGAGGGAGGACAGGTGACTCACCAGCTGCACCCTGCCCTTCCCGCTGTGGCTGCTCTGTGCTTTTGCCTCTGTTTGTCTCTATTTTGGGGACAGCACTCTGTGCAGACTTGGGGTCACCAGCAGGAAGGTGGGGAGGCAGGTGTGGGATGGGCCACTCTGTTGCCTGGGGAGGAAGTCCCTGTTCCTGCCATCGTCGGTGTTGTGGAAGTCTGCCTTACCACTTTTATCCCCAGCTTTGGTTTCTAGCCAGGAAAGCCTGCCCTTTCTTCTGCAGGAGGAAGTCGGCAGCCTGTTGTGGGTCCCTTTCCGAACGTGCCTCTCCTCAATTGGTCTCGAGACTCTTCCATAGCATAGGACATGTGAAGCCAGCATGCTGTCTTTTGTATTCCTCAGTGCTGAGTTGTGCAGCCTTTCATTGTGTGACACGTTTCCTGGTTTCCATTTGTCGTGTGCGATTGCTGATTGTGTCAAAGGCTGGGTCTGCTTTCCACATTTAACAGTTGTCAGAACTGTATCTGTGGATATCTGCCAGGCTTTGGAGAGCCCACCCCCTGTACGTTAATACACTGGCTCCCTAAAGTTCAGTGTATTAAAATGGTCACGGGCTGTGTGTGTATGAGCATTCTCCGCAGAGTTTAATAGTCACCTGAAGGAGTTGATCTGCACAGATGGACTTGGAGCTAATATTTCATCCCATCCTGTGATTGTTCTCCATCCGGTTGGGTGTTCTTTGTGTTTGGGTATCCACCATTGATCTTTATGGTAGGCGAGTCTGTGGCAGGGCGTGAGGAGCTCGTGGAGGGCTGTGATGGTGTTTGGAGAGTCCAGCTCCTAGTTATGGGCAGAGCGAGTTCATTTTGCCTGACGTGACGGCATGCCCTGTCATATCAATCAGAATAAACCAAGGTTAATTCTGAATCTGAAAAGAGACTGTGCCACTGAAGTTTTCTTCTGTGTTCTTGTGCTTCTGTATTTTTTTTATTTAAATGTTACCTTCTGTTCTGCCCTTGATGTTTTGTTGCATATGGTCTGGGTAGGAAGGCCTGAGAGTTCCAGTTGGTTCTCTCTTAAGGGGGTTGGATTTGGTCCCCCAAACACTACTTCTCAGGATCCCACAGCCACACACTCTTGACTGTGGCTGCCCTATCCATGTGGAAACCCAGCCCATTTCCCAGGACACAAATTCACAGAACTCCATGGAGCCAGTGTTGTCCTGATGCCTGGGCTCCAGGCCTGGGACACCAGAGCTCGACCAGCTTTGACCCAAATGGCGCCTCTTGTGCTGAGTCGTGGGACCCAGAGCCCTCACCTGGGACTGAATTGACCCACGCGTTTCCTGCATCTGCCAGGGAGAAACACGCCCATGCACTAAGTGCTTTCGTGCTGGGTCCCCATCTCCCGTGTGCCGTCTGTCTGGGACCTCTGCTGCGTTGTGAGGTGGGCTGAGCATCGCTCCTGCAGCTCTTGATGTCCTGTGTGGGGGGATGCAGGGCACATTTCTCAGTGTTGCCTCCCTTCATTTGGGGTGTGCTTCAATGTAGGAGGCCTGCCCGAGCGCAGGCTGTGGGGCGATGGAAGGAGACTCAGTGTGGAGCCAGGCACAAAGGGACTGAGCTTGGTGACTGAGGATGTGCGAGCTGTGTGACCGGGGCCCAGTCCTTGTCTGTGTCAGCTGTAGTGGCATCATCTTAGGGGCTTAGAGGCATGCAAATCCTTGCCAAGCCTCCTGCCGTTGGCCAGTGACATGCGGAGGGCGTCCCAGCCGCTTGCTGCCCGCAGCTCTGGAGGGAGCATGTGCACGTCTCCCAGGTACAGGAGCAGGATTAGCTTTAACACTGTCCGTCAGGGCTGCATGACACCCTTCGTTATTCAGCCTGCTCTGGTTTGGGTGTGGCAAGCATTTAGGCAAGATGCTGAGGTTGCACAGAGAACCCCAGGGGCGACTACTTTTGTTATGAGGCTGTGAAAATGAAAGATCTGTCAAAAAGCAGAAATTTGGTTTTTGGTGAAGCTGGAGTTAAATTTTCCTTTCAGCCACAATTTAGTGACATCTTTACAATAAAGTACTTTATCTAAAGGAAATAAAGACAGTAAATTAGGCTTTCTGTTTTCTTAATCTGTTAGCCTATTTTTATACTCCTTTCATAGCAGTGGTTCTTAATATTCTTTGAAGTTCATCCCCTTTGAAGTGGGGACACGAGGCTATCTACTTCTGGGGTTGGACCCTGGCCAGTTTTCTGCCTTTATGTATCCCCTTTTCTTGGTAGTTGGAAAAATATGTACAAAAAGGCAAATATTTCAGACTCCTGGTTTAGCACTTTATGTCCCATACAATTTTTAGGTGTCTCAGTTACTGATGGCATGGTTAAAGTGAATGCTCCCACCCCTGTTTGGTAAGAAAATCACATTTTTAGTCATCTGCAACTTTTAGAATAACTAGCATAAAGGTAGACTGTGTCTGTGGGCACTCATGGGTGGTCTTGTGTACAGACTGTCTATCTGTCTCTCTGAAATGCACCTGTTCAGTGTAATGACAAGTGTGATGTATTAGATAGAAGTGGGGAGTTGGTTCTAAAAATTTTTTTGCTACAGATAAAACAATCTGAAAATAAGTCATGATTAATCGAAGACAATATAAAATTGTTGTGCTGCACATATGAATGTGTATATATATATGACAATGTAGAGATATGGAACACATGGATGGATTTTGTAATGGGCTGGAAATCTTACCCTGGGCACTTGAGAGTGGAGCCAATTTTCAGTAAGAACTCAACTTCGATTCTGTTAATTTGGGAATTGAGCTAATGGAATTCAAAGTGGGTTACAATTTATGCAAAAGCATTAAGAAAAAAATTAACAGCTGTGCACCAGGTTTGGGTATATTCCCGACAAGTCACTTTCTGGGCCTGTTGCTGTTTGCTGTAGGGCGCCCTCTGCTGGTGTGGTCCCTGCCCTGGAATGCTGTGTGACTTTCCTAGTGTCCCTGGTGGTTGTGAGAGTGCGATACAGAGAGTGGTTTTCAAGTTACAGCTCGAAAACCCAGTGAGGGCTGTGTTTTCATCTCTTTATTCTCTACAACTTCAGGAAAAAAAAAAGATGGAATTTTTGAAGCTATCTTCCTCGATAAGCCGTAGGTAGGAACTGAAGTATAATAAAATCTGGAAAATGTTTCACGATTAAAGGATGCCCCTCTTTCTTGCCACATATGTTGACAACAGAAATGTATGGAAGGAGGTAGGGGCAGCTCAATGTCTTGGTAACGTGGCTTGGCTTGGCATTCGAGCCAGCTTGAAAAAGCTTTGTACTTGCGTAGCTGAGGCCAGTTCCTTTCGCTCCTCTACTGTCAGTTTCTCCTTAGTTCTGGGACGACATACAACTTCCACTCAGCGGAACTTTACAATTGCTTTTACAAAGCTGTATTTATTTGTACAGGTAATAAACTGAACTATTTTCCTTAAAAATTAAAATATTATAGGTAAGTGGAATCTTAAATTATACTTGGAGGAGTTAATTACAGCTGTTCTCAAACATTTTGGTCCCAGGACCTCCTTCCAGTGTGAAAATTACTGAGGACCCCAAAGAGCTTTTGTTTATGTAGACTTTTATGTACATAATTTAGAAATTAGAACTGAGAAATTTTTAAAAATATTATTAATTTATTAAAGATAACAATACAAACCCTGTTATATGTTAATATAAATGACATTTAATGACTGATAAGTTTTTTGAAACAAAACAAATGTAGTGAGAAGGATGGTATTATTTTTACATTTTTATAAATCTCTTTAGCGTCTGGCTTCCTAGAAGGCAGCTGCTTGGGCATTCAACCTTTTTTTTTTTAATTGAAACATAATTGTACAAGCTGCTTTGATGCATCACTTTGGGTGAATCTGTGAAGAAGATCTGACTGCCCGCGGATATGTAGTTGGGAAAGAGGGGACCTCATAGGACCCCTGAGAGAATCTTGATGATCCCCAAGGGTCTTTGGACCACACTTTGAAAACCATTGATTTTAATATATGATATACACCTTTAATATTGGTTGTGTAGTGGCTGTAGTCACGAAGATGTTTGACTGAGTAGGAAACGCTGCGGACCATCCGTGCCAGAGTGTAAAGGAGCAGCGCATGTTTTACTGCAGTGTCAACATTTACAGTTCTCTCTGCATCTAGGAGAAACAAAGACACATTCACATTTATGGCTTATTGTTCAAACTTGTAAACTAATTCAGACTGGATTGTGCTCCTGTGTTTAAATTGGTGATACATCAGTTTCTTTTATTGATGAAAGCTGTTCTTTGTTGACCCCTTGTCATTTGCCGTGCATTATTTTATTTATGCAGCATCGGTTTTCTGGGCTAGGTTGTAGCCTCCATTTTAGCAGGTAATAAAACTAAGGGCTCAGAGAGGGCAAGGCACTTACCTGCCCAAGGCCGCACAGCTTGTGAGTGAGCGGCAAAGTGGGGTTCTGTGAATTCCAGGCTCACTCTCACCCTCGCCAAGCTCTCTAGAGTAGAAGGGAGAGAAGAATCACCTCCAACCCCGTGACCTAAAGACAGCCACAGCTGCTATTTTATTTGCTTCTAATACTCTAATTCTGTAGATTTTAGAACTGCATTTGGTTTTGCCTGGAAGGGGGCCTAGGATGCAGGAATCAGATTTGTTCCGTGGAATTCCAGCATGTTACCCCATTGCTCTGCATTTGAACCCATCTTCTAGTTGGCCTAGTCTGCCGTCCTCGTCTGTTCTTCTGCCCACCCACCTATCCATGTGCCCATCCATGCACCCACCTGCCTGTCCACTCATCCATCCACTCACCCATGCAGCCGTCCATCTGTCTGCCCGTAGTACACACACCCACCCGTCCACCCAGATGTTGAGCTTCTCCAGCATGTCAGGCACTGCTCAGGATGCAGGGGACATATTTCTCCAACAGGACAGGAACAGTCTCTGTTAGCTTGGTGCTTATGACCTTAATGCTTTGAGAACTGATAGTCATTCCAACCTAAATCTGTTGTGGAAACTTGTAGTTGAATGTCTTATTATGAAAATATGCTCTTTATCTCTCATATCCACTAATCAACTACGTTCTTACCAACAGGATTTTACTTCAGGAAAAAAGAAATTGTCTCCTTATGCAGCTGGAAGAAGCTACCCGCTTAACATCCTATCTCCAGTCCCAGTTAAAAAGGTAGGTTTACTTCATTTAAAAGAGAAAACTATACTTAATTATTGTGGTGCAATGACATGTGTGTGAACTTCATCATTCCTTTTAGCTTAGATTTTCTCCTACTGTTACTTAGACCCTGAATAGAAGAGTGCGTATATTATGTTTTGAAGACGACCTACTAATATGGGACTCAAGGAATTTGAAGAGAACCAAATTTGACTTCAGAATAAATAACAAGTCTGAAGTCAAATTTATCCAAGGATTTTGTAATCTAACAGCTTTATCAGAAGTGTACATATGTGCCCATGCACATTTCTATTTTGGGTTTTTTGAAAAAGGATATGAATATTTTTAAGGTAAGAAAGATGTGGATGCTCAATCATAGCTCATGTTTTCAAGTCCTTACTGTATCGTGAAGCTAATGTTCAGGGCTTTGTATGTATTTTCTGTTATTCCCCCTAACAATGGCATTAGGGTGGAACTGTTACTGCCCCAGTCCCCCGTGAGCTCGTGGGAGGCTCAGAGAGGTGAAATAACTTGGCCAAGTGCGCGCAGCTAGTACGCATTTGAGCCTGGACTTGACCTCAGGCACGAGTCTTTGCTGCTGCCCACTGCTCTGTGCCGTCATTGAAAAGAAACAAAGAAGGTGTTGATGAAGGCCGGGCAAATTCTGGGGCTTTTCGGGTGTGCTCCGTCCCTGGGAATGCTGCTGCTGGGGGTCGTTGCCCTTGGGGCCCCGTCTGTAAGGTCGCGTTGCGCTCTCGTTTCAGCCTGTCTGCCAGCACCCTGACAGTGTCCTCGGGGAGCAGCCGCGGGTCCCTGGCCTCCAGCCGCGGATCGCTGAGCTCGGTCAGCTTCACTGACATCTACGGCCTCCCGCAGTACGAGAAGCCCGACGCCGAGTGCGGCCAGCTGCTGCGCTTCGACCTCATCCCCTTTGACTCCCTGGCGCGGGAGGCCCCCTTCTCAGACCCCGTAGGCCACTCGGCCTTCCACAGGCAGAGGCGGTCTCTGGACACGCCCCAGTCCCTGGCCTCGCTGTCCTCCCGCTCCTCCCTGTCCTCTCTGTCGCCCCCGAGCTCACCCTTGGACACCCCCTTCCTCCCGGCCTCCCGGGACTCGCCTCTGGCGCAGCTGGCGGATGGGTTTGAGGTGCCAGGCCTGGGTGCCCTGGACAGGCTGCGGGCTCAGGCCTCTGCCCTGGGGGACGAAGACTTGCAGGGCTCGGCGTCCCTTCAGCTGCACGGATTCCCCGGGGATGGGGAAGGACCGCGCGAGCGAGGACCCCAATTGGCAGGCGCTCCCACGGGTGGAAGTAAGTGCTGATAAGGCTTCCTGGGCAGCAAAGTCTACCATTCGGGGGGACGTTGTGTTCAATTCTTGGAGGCCGGCTGGCTTTTCAAGTCCATAGTGACCTTTAAATTTGGGAACATTGACAGGGTCAGGAAGGGTCCAAACCTGCTCTTGTCATTTGCATCTGTGTTGGGGAAAGATAATTGAAACTGGCAAGGTAGTCTTTCCCAAGCATTAGCTTGTTTGCAGAAGGCACTTAATTGTTGAAAAGGAGGGTAAGATCCACCCAGTCTTCCACATTCAGAGGCTTCTAACGACATCCTGGGGCCTGAGTGAACTCTGCAAGGTGTTTGCCAGGACAGAGCATTGTGTGTGCTGCCCAAGACCAGCACGTGCACTGCTGGTAGCCCAGCAGAAATCTCCACTTCCTCTGTCGCTGTGGCTTCATCTCTTTATCCTTTGTCCTCATAGTTTTCAAGGATGCAATTCTATCAGACATGGAAATGAAAATAGTTGGCATGATTTCAAAAGACGTGCCAGTAAGATATCAGTCTTTTCTACTCAGGGAATTTCTGAAGTCAAGAAGCGTGTCACTGCATGGAGCTTCATCCATCCAGTCGGTGTTAATTCAGCTCCTTCTTGGTGCCAGGGTCTATCAGCTTGTAGCCCATGTGGAGAACCAACCTGCTATTCTAGAGAAAAGTCCAGCCCGTGCCTTGTACACAAAGCAGAGTCTGGGCTTCAGCCCTGTTCATCTTGCCGTCATGTGCTTTTGGAGCCAACCCCCAGTCACTTTAACTTTCATAGGTTTTTTTTTTTTTTTTCCTTTTTGTCTTTTTTCGTGACCGGCATCGGATCGCAACCCTCAGTGTTGCGCCCGTACCGGACTGGGACCGGCAACGGGATCGCAACCCTCGGTGTTGCTCCCGCACCTTGCTCAGCCAGTGAGCGGCCGGTCTGTATGTGGGATCCGAACCCTCGGCGGGAGCACCGCCGCGCTTCCCAAGCGGCGCACTGTAGCAGTGCGCCACCGGGCCGGCCCCGAACTTTCATAGGTTTTAAAGATGATCAAGAACAAGGTCTCCCATTCCTGAAGTTCAGCGCATTTAATGAACTTGTATTTGCACAGTGGAAATGTCTTAGACATTCCATTTAGTCAAACAATAGATAATTTGTATAGCATAGTACATCTCATAGATCTCAACCAGGGGGATTTTTGCGCCCCCCCCCCCATACTTAGCAACATCTGGAGACATTTTTGCTTGTCACAACTGGGGTGGGGGATGCTACTGACATCTAGTGGGTAGAGACCAGAGACACTGCTCAACATCCGGCAATGCACAAGACAGTCCCCACCACAAAGAATTGTCCAACCCCAAATGTCAATACAGTAGCCCCGACCCCCATCCACAGGGGATATGTTCCAAGACCCACAGTGGATAACTGAAACTGCAGACAATACTGAACCGTATACATAATACTGTGTTTTTTCCTATACATACCTATGATAAAGATTAATTTATAAATTAGACACAGAGATTAACTATAATTAATAATAGCAGTTATAGCAATATACTGTAATAAAAGTTGTCTGAATGTGGTTTTTCTCTCAAAATACCTTATTGTATTACACTCACCTATTTTTGAACCTCAGTTGAGCACAGATAACAGACCAGGGAAAGCAAAACTGCAGGTAAGGGGGGGGCTCCTGTAGTCCTGAGGCTGAGAAACCCTGGTAACATACTACTGAGTAGTTACGCAGCAAAGGGTGGAAATAAAACTGGAATACGGAGCCAGTGTGGTGGCGTGGAAACAACTTCGGACTAGCAGCGTGGGGACTGGGATTCTGTTCCCTGCCCTGTTGACTGTTAGCTGTGTGACCTTGAGCACATCCCTAGACTTGCCTGAGTCTCGCCTTCCCTGCTCTTCAATGAGGTGATCTTTATGGTCTCAGCCATTCACCACCATTCTGTTACCCATGAGAGAGGTTACCCATGAAAGACTGCTATAGGATAGTAGTCTGTGTTAGCACTTAATGTGTTTAACAGAGACTTATGGTCTTGGGCTGCCTCATGGCTTTTCAGCATCTCTGTTATTTGATGTCTTTCTCTCTGTGTTTGCGAGCACACTTTCATATCCTCAGATACATTGTTTCTATAATTCACATATACAGGTACCCTTCATTAGCCTTGTTCTTTTTTTTTTGGCAGCTGGCCTGTGCAGGGATCCAAACCCTTGAACTCGGTGTTATCAGCACCGCACTCTAACCGAGTGAGCTAACCAGCCAGCTCTTTGTTCTTCTTCAGAATCGCAGATTCGTTGCTCCATATTTACTTCTTTTATTCAAAAAAGAAAATATGCAATAAGGACTGAATTGCACATCTGTCATTGCTTAAGCTTACTTTTCTCTTAGTCTCCCCACACCTCTCTCCCAACTTGTTTTTAAAGGTTGAGATTCAAGAATATCAGTCTGGTTATAGAGAAAATCTACGCAAGGCCTAAGGGCCCCTTTGGGCCAGGGGAAAGACAGGGTGGGAGGGCGAAGAGGTGACTTAATTGCTGATCTCGATTTCTTTATTTTTCCTTCCCACTCCGTGGCAGACGTTATGATGGTTCAAACTTAGACTGGGAAGTATTTGCTTATACTGTATTTAGACACTGCCACCTGGTGGTGGATTCTTGTATGACATTTTCATTGACTTGTGTCCTTAGAACCGAAATAATGGACCCAGTCAATGGGTCCTGCTGGGTGCTCCCAGTGGGCTGGGTTGGGTAACCAGCATCGGTCATGGACACAGGAACTCCTCACCTCCCTTGGTGCTTGTGGCGGCTCCTGAACCCAGACTCGTCATAGCTTCGTGCACCTGGCCCATCGTTTACCGATGCCCAGGGCGCGTAGTTTCCTCCAGCTTTTTAGTCTTGCTAGAAACAGTGCAGTCTCAATTTGGCCCAAACAAGTTTTGGTAAAATAAAATTTTAGTAAGATAGAAATAAAATGTGCCCAAACCTACAGAGAAAGCTCTGTGAATGATGAATGATTTCTTTCTTTGTGTTTTAAATCAGTCAGAGGAGACAGAAGGCAGGACAGAGGAGTGGGGCAGTAGATTGTAATCTTTACCATTTTTTTGCATTTTTACTACAGTTTTGTCTTCCCGGGATTTTAAAACCCAAATGTGTCATGATTTTGAAATGCTTTACTATTTTCATCTACCCATTAGTATTTGCTAATTAAAATCCATAAAAAGCTTGACTTTGCTCATCTATTTATTGATGTTTTTATTATATTCATACTCTGTTTAAAATTGTTGGCTTAAATTCTGCAGTTTTTTCACTTTGTGCTTTTTTTTCCTTATCTCTTCTCATGCGGCTCGACAGACGCATTCACTGTAAGTGGCCTTGGGATTCCCCTCATTGACCTTAGTTGCTCAGGCTGTGGGCACATCTTTGTGCTGTGAGTCAGTGTATTTAGGGTGGCTGGGGTGTGGCCAAGGAGGGCATATCTTATAGCTGTACTTGAATGTAGCTTATCAATTGTCATTATCATTATTACTTCAAGTTTAACATTCATGATGGCTACTAAAGTTGTGTTAAGAACTTTTTAAAAAGTTTTAACTATTTATTCCCTCAGTGTATTTTTTTTCCAGAATTTAGTGATGTTCATTATTTTAATATGCCAGGTGGCAGCTTTGCCCACAATGTGGTTTTCACTGTGTTTTCTTCCTTTTTATCAAGCAGTGTTCATGTCCTTGGGTCTCAGTGTCTGTCTGTCTGTCTCTCTGTCTTTAATGATGGAAAGGTCAGAGACTTCTTAAATGAGTGTGTGAGATTTTGGATTTCCTGCTTCATTGGCATTGCTCCCCGTGTGGTCAACCTCGTTGCCTCGAAGCCCAGGAGCGGGTGTCTGGGTTATGCAGTGTGGGGTCTTCTGTGCGCTTCCTCCCGGGAGGCAGCTCCTGCTTCCAGTTGCTGTGAGTTCAGTGTCTTAGCCTGCGGATCAGTTCATTTCCTTTCTCTCTTCATCGACTTCCATTGTAATGATAAGAGAGATTTGGTGAGAGTTGCCCCATCCCACTGGGTTAACTGGAAGTGCTTAGGATTGTTACCCGTTGCTATTCCTTAAAGGGATTTAAAGCTCTGTTCAGGAACTATGCCGAGAGGCAGGGATGGGAGTGGAAATCATGATCTGTTTGGTTGCTAAGGGATCGGCGCAGCAAGCTGGCGGCTTCCGTGTGCAGTTTAGGGCTGGCCAGGGCAAAAGCACAGAATTCCCCCAGGCTTGGCATTACAGACCTTTGGAAGGATAGCTTTTGTCTCCAGTTGACATCGTGAGACCAAAGGCCACAGCCCCATCTGTTTGTTTTGTGTGCTGTTCACCGTGGTTGTATTTAATCAGTGTGAGTCATAATTTGGTTGAAAAGGGAGATGGTCGTCAGCAGACTCACCATTTCCCCCAACCCGGGAAGGCACAGATGTCAGGACTTTCAGTGTGCAGAGCCTAGATAGCCAAAGAAAAGTACAGAGGCCGGGGACGGGCCTGCGTTGTTAACAAGAGGCATCATGATGTCTGAGTAATGTTCAGTTTGGGGCTTCATATTTTATTCTGTGTTCTATCCAGGTATGCCTCTTTATAAAACATTGAGACTCCGGTGCACATATTCACATTTAGCATAGAAAGATTAAATGCATATTATTTTTATTGGTTTTGTGAAATGTAACTTACTGCAGTGAGGGAAGGGGTAAAAACAGTTGATGAAATGCTAAAAGGAAAACATTCAGTGGTTATGTTTGGCTCTTGATTAAGACAGATATGAAACGTAAAAATAAGCTGCCCAGTAACCATAGCATTCTAACCCAAGAAAGTAATTCTGGAAGCAGCTCTGGCCCCAGGGCAGCTGGGGAGGATGCTGTAGTCCCAGAGACAGACAGGCCTGAGCCCCCAGCGTCCTCCCTGTGAGCCACACATCTCTGAGGAGGTGTTTTCAAAAGATGAGTCTGGATTCAGCCGTGTCTTTTGACTTGAAGGTCACTAAATTTTCTTAGGGTTTATTTGGATAATTTAAACGAGTTTTTCTGATTACAAAAGCAACATTGTATATGTTTATTGCATTAAATATGGAAAATACCAAATAGCATAAGGAAGGGAGTGAAAGGTATCATCACTTGGAGAGCATGGCTGCAGTTCCCATTTGGGGTAATATTTCTTTCATGGGCTGTTGGGTATGAGAGTGTTTCTTAAAGTGCGCTTCGAAGGGCTTCCAACCATCATCTCATGTTCTATGTGCTCATTAAGGGGCGAAAAGAGACTTATGAATCCAAAGGTCTTTCTGGATAGCTTAAAATCTCTTAAAGAAGTAGCCAGAAGTTTGTTTAATTTTTCAGTATTGAGCGCAAGCGTATTTATATGTATGTACATATCACGACGTGTCTCTGGAACGCTCAGTTCCTTAGTGTGTGCTCTAATGTAGAGGTCCCTGGCCTCCCTTGCCATCATCTCCTGACCGCAGGTGTGTCCCTTATTTGTAGCAGTGACTCTTCGAGAAGACAGCGCCAAGAGGTTGGAGAGGAGAGCACGCCGTGTCTCTGCGTGCCTGTCGGATTATTCACTGGCGAGTGACAGCGGGGTATTTGAACCTCTAACCAAAAGGTTAGAAGCTGATCTTATTATTTCCTTCTCCCTAAGCAGACTTACCACTCATTACTGTTCAGCACAAAAAGGATGTATAGTGAAACTTTTATGTATTGAAACTTTGTTTGTATATCCAAGGGTAGGATGTTTTTCTAGCTTCTTTCAACTTTGGGAGGTTGGGCCTTAGAACTCTACAAAGAAGGGCCGGCCCATGGCTCACTCGGGGGAGTGTGGTGCTGATAACACCAAGGCCACGGGTTCAGATCCCTATATAGGGATGGCCGGTTGGCTCACTTGGGAGAGCGTGGTGCTGACAACACCAAGTCAAGGGTTAAGATCCCCTTACCGGTCATCTTTTAAAAAAAAAAATAAAGGAACTCTGCAAAGAAAATGCCTGTCTCCCATGTGGCATTTGGAGGCCAGCTCTTGCTCCGTAGTTCCAGGATGACTTTCTCTCTGGCCCTGGTGGGTCTAAGGCTTTTAAGCCCAATAGAACTGAAAAAGGAGAATCAGCATATGAAAGAGACCTGCTTTTCTGAAAAGGACATTCATTAGGAATGACTTTCCTCCCTCCCTCCCTTCTTTCCTTGGCTATACGAATTGCTTTGCAATGATAGAACACTTTGGAATTCTGTGCATTATTTTGATTGGGTATCTTCATGTCATTGTTTCTTTGTACATTTGTCAATCTCAGGTATCTATAAGACGTTTCACTTATTGCAAACTTTTAGAAAGTTAATTTTTGAATGTTGCTCTGAATATCACATGTGGTTTTGAAAAGTATGCAAAGTTATTTTCTGAAAAAATGAAAAACACAAAAAAGAAACACTTTGTAGGCCAGTGTCCAGTGAGATGGATCCTGGGGACCTGCCCTTTCAGCCACTTACTGGATTTATTTATGTGTCAGTTTGATGAAGCTTTTCTCAGGAAGAAGCACTCTTAACATGAGAGAGCTTCTGCAAAATCCATAGTATTCCGTTCCCTCTACAATAAGCCGGGTGGATTTCCGATTGTGTTCAGGAATGAAGATGCTGAGGAGTCTGCATATGGAGACGCGAGCACTAGCGAAGGTCCCCACATCCACGTGGGATTTTTGTGAGTACAGAAGACTCCTTCCCTGGTGCTCTTAAAGACCAGTAGATCAGGGCCCGCCTAGTGGTTCCCACTTCCATGCACAGGCCTGGAGGGATAGACGGACCCATGTGACTTGGGTGCTGCTCTCCTGTCCTTGATACCCCAATCCCACTTCAGCTAGTCTCAGGTGAGGGGACAGAGGTGGCAGGAAGGAGTGACAGGGAAAAGTGGCTCCATTGCTGCCTTTCAGCTCTGAGATTCATAGCTGGGAACTGTCATCTCATGGAGCTGGGGTTTCAGGGGACCATAATGCAGGGGGTATTGAAAACTCCCAGCGAAGTCTGGCCCTTGGGGCAGTTTTCCTACATTTCTTCCAGGAATTGATTGTGTTCACTGCCGCACAGGTAGTGGGGTCCTTCCCTCGTCCCCACAGTAAGTAATCAGGTGGTTTGCAACACAGCACTTTTTGACTTCTAGTAGCAATTTCAATAAAGGCAGTGACCGTAGCGTTCACAGTAGCACTGTAGGCTGTGCAGATGCCTGCAGATTCCCTTTGCTTTCTCTTGTTATGCCGATCCAGGGCTTGTCAGTGTTGGCACTGCTGACATTTGGGACTGGATCATTCTTTGTCATAAGAGGCTGTGTTGGGCACTGTAGGAAGCTGAGCAGCTTCCCTGGCCTCCACCCGCTCGATGCCATAGCATCCCCCTCCAGTTGTGATGATAAAAAATGTCTTCAGACATTGCAGATGTCCCCTGGGGGCAAGGTGGGGGAAAGCCATCCTTTGCTGTTGTTCAGTCAGAAGGACTTTTCCAGCAGGGGGCTTTTACGGTCCACGGATGCCTGTTTTCTGTTCTAGGCACGACAGTGCCAGCGAATGTCTCCTCGTGCACGTGCTCCAGCTGAAGAACTTGGCCGGGCTGGTCGTGAAAGAAGACTGCAGAATGTAAGCTCCCTGGGCCCAGTCTGGTGGACGGTGGCCTCGCTCGGGCCCTCCCCCACACCTCATGGCCTTGCCACTCTTCTGCTTGGCAGCTTGGGGGGGGGGGGGGACAGTTCGAGAACCTGAATTCACAGTAAAACACCAGGGAATGTCTGTGTGAAGTATAAAGCATGGGAAGTTTTAAAAAAGAGTCTGATTAATTATTTGAGGTAGAGGAAGTTAACAGTGCCGGGCTAGCCATGTGCCGTGCAAATGCTAAGAAAGTGCCCACCATTGGCAGTATTTGGGTTTAAAATGTCCTCTTCCATCATGGGGATGAGTAGTGACGATGCAGCTACTTTCGGCTCTGTGGTCGGTGAAGGGCATTACGAGGCCTCTGGTAGGGATCAGGGCATCCTTGGCTGAGGAGGGAGAAGAAGATATGTGTTGGGACCAGTTGGGAGTTGCCTGGTGACTTCGGCCTCAATAGTGGGATCACTTCTGTCTGAGCTCTGAGGCCCCAGATGGGTGCCTGATAGAAGGCTCCACTTACCCAGGCAGGTGACCACACCTATAATGGTCCATTCAAGTCCCCTTCCCTGAGCCTTCTTTATCAACTAGTCATCTGGAGGCCTTGGAAGCAGCCTGGCTGGAGTGGTGAGGATGCAGCCTGGGCTCCTGCCCACCCTGATGGTCTGCTTTGCAGTGTGGCAGGTGCTGGGGCTCCTCCCGTGTGCTGCATTCAGGGCTGGGGGTGGAGAGGCCGGAAAAGACTGGCTGATGGGCTGAGAAGTCGGCAGGCAGAGCCATGAGGGAAGAGACAGGGTCTGTTCCCGAAAAAGTGGTGAACAGCAGAGCCTCGGAAGCCCTCTGGAGTCTTCAATACTCACCGAGGTCTTTCTCTTTGCCAGCGACCTCCCCGCCCACCCATCCCCAGGGCACATCGGTTCTCTGGACTTACTCTTAGTTGAGAAAGGAACTTTTTCCACAGGGTGTTGAAATCGTCCCGTGGGCGCCCAGACAGGGTGACACGCGGGTCCCGGAGCGTGCTGTCCCTGCTGTGCCGGTAGGGGACCACGCGGCAGTAAGCGCTGCCCGCACCCATAGGCTCTTCCCCCCTGTCCCCTGCAGCCACGTCCGTGTCTACTTGCCCCCGCTCAACTCCAGCACGCCCACCACGTACTGCTCCAAGGCCCTGGAGTGGCAGGCGCCGCTGGTGTTCAACGAAGTGTTCAGGATCCCCGCGCATTCCAGCTCGCTGACGCTGAAGTCCCTCCAGCTCTACGTGTGTGCGGTGAACCCGCAGCTGCAGGAGGAGCTGCTGGTGGGCGACACGGCCCCCCTGCCTGCCCCTGCCTCCATCCTTTCCTGCCATTTCAGTCCGTCCTTCTTTCTTTCTTTCTTTTTTTTTTGGTCTGTCTCTCCTTCCTTCTTTTTCTCTCTTTGTCCTTTGTTCTTTTGTCATTCTCTCTCTTAGTTTTTGTCTGTGTTTGTCTCTCTTTTCTTTTGTCTGTTTCCTCCCCCTCTGTTGCCCTCTCTCCCTCCCTCCACTCTCTCCCATGCCTCCTTTGTCCTGTGATAGGTGGCTTAGAAATTGTGGTAATGTCAAGTAGTCTCTGCAGCTGGGAGTCCAGAAACGGATGGTCAAACCAATGTCCTGTCAAGTGTTTTATACTTTAAATGTATTAATTCAACTAATCATTGCAAACCCCCCACGAGATAACTTCCACTTTATCCCCATTTTCAGTTGAGGAATGAAGTACGGTTGACAGATTAACGAATAAAAATATAGGCTAGTCAGTTAAATTTGAATTTCAAATAAATTATAGATACCTTTTTAGTGTAAGTATATCCCATGCAATATTTGAGACTTATACTAAAAAAAAAAAAATTAAAATCCATTGTTCATTTTTAGAATTTCAAATTTGCCTCGATGTCCTGTGTGTTATCCCTAGGACTAGGCCTGAAGAGCCAGCAGCTTGTCTTCAGTATCCCCGCCATCCAGTGTCCAGGCCAGGATTTTGAAGCCAGGGCGGTTTCTTTCCACGGGTGGAATTTTTCCCCTTGGTCCTGTCCCCTAGCAGTGGAATTCGGGATTGTGGAGTTCAGCAGTCCTTTGTTATTTCAAAGTTTTCTGGGGGAATCAGTGGCTCATCTTGGGGGAGCCCTGAGCTCAACCCAGCACCCCAGGTTGCCTGTCCTTTGTCCCCTGCTCCCTTTCCAGCACTTTAAAGATTGGGCCAAACAAGCAACCAGGGAGCCACCCATTAGGATCCTCTGTGACCATTTGCATTGTACTGCAGGCCTTTTAACAGGAATGAAATATTTTAAGTCTCTTTTGGCTAAGATTGAAGGGTGAACTTGATGTTTTAAAGGACTCCAGTTGTTGAGGTGAGATCCTTCAGTGCCTGGCCTGGCTTTCTTTTTAACACTCCTGCAGGGCATCGCTCAGATCAACTTGGCCGACTACGACAGTGCAAGTGAAATGCAGCTGCGCTGGCACCCCGTCCAGGTCTTCACCAGCTCTGAGCTGCCCAGGACCGGGGAGAGTGCCGCACGGGACCCCATGCACACTGTCACCGGGAAGACGGTACTTGGCCCTGGGCTAAGGAGCTGATCACGACTGTTTTCGTGACTTTGAGACTGGCTTTTACTTGGGCAAATCATTTCTAAGAGTCTACGTAGACAAAATCAGAGTATAGTGGCAATGATGAAGTAGGGTTTCAAGGAAGGTCATAAAAATGGAACATATCCATCTGTATGGCCATTTCCTGATAATGCTTTTTAATGCAAACGTGTTGGTGACCACGGGCAGGCGGTGCCTTGGTTATTTTTAAGCTGGAGCCCTCGGAGGTGTAGGAGTAGGCAGTGGCGATGTTCTGCTGGGGGGAGGGCAGTATCTTCTGCTGAGTCACAGAAAGCGGAGGCTGCCCCCGCTGTCGCTATCAGCCGTGCCTTGGAGCCGCCGGGCTGAGCTTCTCAGCGCCCTGTCCCCTGCAGGACGCAGTGTCGGTGCTGTTGGCCAAAACCACGGCCCAGCTGCAAGCGGTGGAGCGAGAGCTGGCTGAGGAGCGGGTGAAGCTGGAGTACACCGAGGAGGAGATCCTGGAGATGGAGCGCAAGGAAGAGCAGGCCGAGGCCGTGTCTGAGAGGTAGGCGCCAGGCCACCCGCAGAAAGGGACGTGAAGCTGATTTTCTTGGGGCCTGGCAGCTGGCGTGTCAGGCAGTCGTGGCTCTCTCCGAGGAGCTGTGTCTTTGGGTGCAAGTTGCTTTTCTCATCCATGCCTCTAGAACGTGCTGGGCGATTCTTCTGTACCATCGGCCAGAAGTTGGGGTTCTGGCTGGAATCGAATGCTAATCGGGTCAAGGGCGAGACCCTGAACTCTCTCCCCCAACTCTCCATGTAGGCTTTTCACCTTTTCCTGCTGTCCTGGAATTTCCCTTCACAAGTGGGACTCTTAAGTGACTCCCCTCTGCCAGGATTGAATCAATAAGGTCCCTGTTCATTGTTTTGGGTTTTCTTGAACAGCTTTATTGAGATATGGTCTACCTGCCATACAATGCACCCATTTAAAGTGCTCAATTCAGTGGTTTTTAGCAGTCACAGCGTGCCACCACCACAGCGCATTTTAGAGCATTCTCGTCATGCCAGAAAGAAGCCCCACCCCCACCAGCAGTCTCCCCCGCCCTCCTTCCCTCGCCCTCCTTCCCTCCGGCCGCTGGCAGCACGGATCCGTGTTCTATCCCCGGATCTGCCTCTTCCACACATTTGCTATAAATGGAATTATGTAGCGTCCTTTCATGTTTTACTTGAAGCAGTTATTGGTGAATCCTCGACTCCGTGGAGTATTGCTCTCCTTCCACATCTCTCCATGAAGAGCGTCATCTTTCCAAAGCTTCCTGCTGCTTCCCACTGGCTTTCCCTGAAGTTGCTTAGAGGGGAATTTATTTTTGGTAGAGACAGTGCAAGGCAGAGGGGAGGGTATTGTGTTCGGGGATGGACAGGAAGCTGGGGGGGGGCAGGGGGGTGGTTTCTGGCATCTTCAGTGGCTACGATTGGGTGATAAAGAAAGACCCTCTTAATGAAAGGCCTTGAAATGTTGTCTTCCCTAGAAAACAGAAATGCCCTTTTACTTCGTGAGAAAAGCAGCCATCTTCAGTCATTGAAAAGAAATGGGTTTTATCTGGTGCCTCCGTTACTGTGCTCAGAAAGCAGCAATGAAATAAATCCCTTTTGATGAACATTTTGTGGGATTTTGCTGTGTCACCTTCAGGAGCTGGCAGGCTGACTCGGTTGACAGCGGCTGTAGCAACTGCACCCAGACCAGTCCCTCGCATGCGGAGTTCTGTTGTGTCACTGTTGACTCCATCCACAGACACGTGTTTGCTGGTCACGTGGACCCTTACAGCCCAGAGAAACTCCAGTCCCTGCCGCTGAAGGTCAGTAGGAAATGCCAAGGGATTTTACAGAGCCCCCAGATGTGTTGCTGTACGATACCAGGCACCACCATGGAAGGAGGGGGTGTGGCAGGCCTGAGGGGGCAGAGGAGGTGCACGGAGGAAACCAGAGCTGGTGGGCTCAGCCGCAGGCAGAGCGGCGGGGGCGACTACAAACTCGCCCAGTGATGGTGGCTCTGGGGAAGTGGTGGTGTGAAATGGACAGGGCTGTCGGGTTTGGGGTTGATGGGTAAGGTCACGTTTCACTGAAAGCTTGAGGAGAAGAAGTGGATGGCCTCAGATCTGTAAAGGGCTTAAGATGCTCATGAGAACCCCAATGGAAACGTTTGTCAGCATTAGATCACGAGGAGGGGACAACCACAACTAAAAAAGATAGATCTTACTTCTTTCTGTGCAGTCTTGCGGCAGTCCGTTCCCATCTTCAGGGACTCATAAAGCTCAGGAAGTTTCATGAATCCCAAAGGTATTGGACGCTGATAGTTACTCTTCCCCCTTTGTGACATTAAGAACAGCAAAGTAACCGTTTGCCCCTTCTGGCCATCTGATCTTAGTTGTGCCCCTCACCACGTCTTCAGGGGAAACCTCTTTCCCGTTTGCAGTGGTGAATGCTGGAGGAGCCCAGTGGGGTTGGAAGACACTGTATCAGTGCTCTATCAAAACTTTGTTCCCAAACTGTCCCACTCACAAAAACATCACCACGCTGTCCTCACCCTGTAAACAACGTAAAATCTGCCCCCTGGGCAGCTTCCCAAGCTGCAGCCCATTCAGCAGGTTTGGAGCGGTTGTTTTGGACTAGCTGCCAGTAATTGCTGCTCTTCTACTTTATAAGACCTTGAAAAGCATCAGTCCAAGTCAGGGTGCTTGGTCATGGGAGGCTAGTTTGGTGATCCCCCCACCCCCGCTTCTAATTTCAAAAACTTCAAATCTACAGAAAATTTGCTAGTGTGAACAAAAGAGGACCACAGGATCCACTAAAGAGAAAAGGGAGACTTTATTTTCTAGAAAAAGAAAAAAGAGGAAAAGGACAGTGTGCAGATTGGGGGTGTTGGGAAAATAGAATAGTTTGGTCAGGGCCCTCGTCTTGGGTCCAGTTGGGTGTGGTTCAGCATTCTTCGTAAGCAAATTGTATGTGTGTGTGTGTGTGTGTGTGTGTGTAGTTAGTGTGCATGCACACCAATGTATCTTTTTAGTTTTGTTGCTATTCTTGTGTTCTTCAGAGAAAGAGAGAGAGAAAGAGGAGTTTTAGTGAAGCAGGCAGGCGGGCATTGCCTTGGGCGTCCGCCCAGTGCAGCCATGCTTTCCAACCTGTGGCTCCAAGGACCTTTTGGCTGGTTACCTAGCTCATAGACCTGCGTGTAAGGGGTCTGGTGACCCAACCTGTCGTGTGGAGGGTCTGGTGACCCAGCCTGGTATATGAAGGGTTTGTGACCCAGTCTATGAATGGGCTTGAGGGGTCTGGGAGCTCCAGACCCAGCCCTGGCTCAACCATCGGCCCAGTCGGCAGGATTACTGGCAGGTAAAAGAGCCCGACAACTAGCGTGGTCGTGTGGCTTGACAATTGGCATCACGAACAGGATTAAGAGTGCTGCAGCTGGCGCTGTGAGCAGGATTCCAGGCCTTAGCCTGGCCAGACAGGGGGACACAGGCCCTGACTGGAACGAGGCAAGCATTCAGGCGAACAGAGGAAGAAGCCGGTTTCTGTGCCTTCCAATGTCAGGTCACACGCATGTTCAGCGAGCTTAGAGGAATGCTGTGAACATGTGGGTAAGGCTGTGCACATGCGCGGTGAGTGAACTCGTCACAGAAGTGACTGCGCAGGCTCTGTGGGCTGCCCTGGTTGGTTCTGATGTGGCCTCTCCTGTCAGAGAAGAGGGAGAAGAGTGTCCTTGGAGTCTGTTTCTGTCTGATCGGAGCCACAGTGGGCCCTCAAGAATGAGAAGGAGGGGGTCGGTGGCTGGCAGCAGGTGGACTTGTGGAAGGGCAGCGTCAAATCCGCAGCTGTAGCTGACTTGGTCTTGTCTTCTGAGAGTTGCCTTTGCTTAGTTACAGACAAGCAACATTCATAATGGTCAGTGAGATACATTCATGCAGGCCCACAAATCCGTGTCTGCCCTTTCCCTCCTGCTGTGGCCATTTGGTTCTGTTTAGCAATTTGAGTGTCCCTTTTAACCACAGAGTGTCCGTTTTGTCTGTCCTTTGCGGTACACTTTAACACTGGAATAGTGCAGCGAGCATCCATATCGCTACCTGTCACCTAGAGTCCCCAGCCATTCGTTCTTTACCACATTCGCATTCTCTCTCTCTGCGTGGGCCAGTGAGGGTGCCAGGCATCGTGGGTACACAAAGGAGAAGCAAACAGATACTCCTGCCCTCAAGGGGGGGCAGGTGATGGAAAGGATAAATCAGGAAAATGCGATAGTATTTTAGGTAGTCAAAGGGGTTACTGGAGAATAAGAGGGTGGTCAGCGGGGTTTAGTTTTAGACAGGTTTGCAATGTAAGAAAGGGTTTACATTTAGAAATGGAAATTTATATTTGCACTTGAGAAAGGTCAGCATTGTAAAATGTTGCAACCACTATGGAAAACCACTGTGGTGGTTCCTCAGAACATTAAGAATAGAACTACCATATGATCCAGCAATCTCACTTCTGGGTGTGTATCCAAGGGGAAATGAAAGCAAGACCTCGAAGAGATATTTGCACACTTGTGTTCCTAGCAGCAATAGCCAGTGGTGGAAGCAACCAAAGTGCCCGGTGACAGATTTATGGATAAGTACAATGTGGTGTATTCATAAAATGGAATGTTATTCAGCTTTAAAAAGGAGGGAGATTGTGGCACATGCTACGACATGGATGGATGAACCTTGAGGACATTATACTAAGTGAAAGAAGCTGGACACAAAAAGACAAATGCTCTGTGAGTCCATTCATATGAGGTACCTGAAATAGTCAGATCCCGGAGACAGAAAGTATATCGGACTTGCCAGGGGCTAGGGGAGCAGGGAATGGGGAGGTGTTTCATGGGGACAGAGTTTTAATTTTGTAAGATGAAGAAGTTCTGGAGATCTGTTGCAGAACAATGTGAATAGATTTAACACAGCTGAACTGTACCTTTAAGGTACAGTTAGTGGTTAAGATGGTGATTTTATGTTATGTGTTTTCTACCACAATTAAGAGAACAGTCATGGAAGACCTCAACTGAGAAGGTGATTTTTGAGTAGAGGCCTTAAGGACGGAAGTGCAGGAGCCTGTGCAGGGTGGAGACCGCGCAGGCTCAGGAAGGACAAGTGCAAGTGCATGGGGCAGGGGGGAGAGTCATGGAGCTGAAGATGGAGGGAGGGGGCCAGAGCATGTAGGCCTCACAAGGGACTCTGGCTCTTCTCTGAGAGGCGTGGGAAATTGGTGGGCGGTTTTGAGCCCATTGGTGATGTAATCTGACTTAAGGTTTTTTGGTTGGTTTTCTCTAAAATAATTTATTGAGATGAAATTCACATAACATAAAGTGAACCATCTGAAAGTGTACAGTTCAGTAGCATTTAGCACATTCACAGTGCTGTGCAACCGTCCCATTCCTCCTCCCTTCAGCCCCTGGCAGCCACCAAAATCTACTTTCTGGGATTTGTCTGTTCTAGATGCTTCATGTAAATGGAATCTATACAATATGTGGCCTTTTGTGTCTGGCTTCTTTCACACAGTGTAATGCTTTTGAGGTTCATCCATGTTGTAGTGTGTGTCAGAGCTTTATTACTCTTTATGGCTGAATAGGATTCCCTGTACGGATAGAGCACATTTTGTTTGTCTTTGCCCGTCGATGTGCATTTGGGCTGTTTCCACCTTTTGCCTATTTGAGTAATGCTGCTGCAAACATCTGTGTGCAAGCATTTGTCTGAACACCTGTTTTCACCTTTTCTGAGAATGTGCCTAGGAGTGAAATTGCAGGGCCTGACTTGGGTTCTCCCAGGATCTCCCTGGTGGTTGTGCTGAGGACAGATTGAAGGGGCAAGGAGGCGTGGGATCAGGGAGACTTGTAAGGCGCCCACTGCACTAATCCAGGCATGAGATGATGGTGACTTGGATGAAGGCTTGGTGACAAGTGGTCAAAATTTGTTTAATCTTGACCATAGAGCCAAAAGGATTTGCTCTTGAACCATGTGTGGAGTGTGTGACAGAGTGGAGTCCGGGATGGCACTAAGATGTTTTTTGCATAAACAAGTGGAAAGAAGTCCCCGTGAGAGGAGGGGGCGGGGGCTGTCACAGTTCCTCCAGTTAGACCTTGGAGTGGAGGAGTCAGGGAGCCAGTTGCTCACCCGGAGTTTATTGCTTGTGTTATGGAAGAAATCATGGTAATCAATGAACTACCACCTAGGTTGACAAGGAAACCAACACAGAGGACGTCTTCCCAGAAGCAGCAGCGAGCTCTCTTCTGAAGGAGCGGCCGGGCCGCCGGGCCCGCGGGTCGCCTTTTGTTCGGAGCAGCACGATCGTCCGGTCTCAGACCTTCTCACCCGGAGCGCGAAGCCAGTACGTTTGCAGAGTAAGTTGGGATTCCTCCGCCACCTGTCTGGGGCGTTTTCTGTTCCCTTTGTTGTGTTTTCTTTTTTTACTATTTGTGCCAAAAGGCATATGTGTCCTCACATGTAGCACCTGTCGGTGTACACCGACCGCAAATGGAGATGAAATCGGTGTTGTGTCATTGTCCCCGCTGTCGCCCCATGCTTACGTACCTCGGATGGCTTCAGGATTCTAATTCTTTTTCCCCTAGGTTTTCAGGGTTGTCTAGGTGCCACCTCGTGGTCAGGAAGCAGGCCAAACCATTTCTGCCTCAGTCGAGGAATAACACGTCAAAGCAGGGGCTCTGCTGGGTTGGGTTGAGGCCTGGGCAGTGGGGCCCTGCATGTGGTAACAAGTCCTGCGGTGTGGCTGTGCGCTGGGCTCCGACTCACCCATGTGGGCATGTACCCTTCAGGGAAGGCGGGGGACGCTCACAGGTCTCACCCTTGGCTGCACCTTGCTGTCGGATCCGGTTGGGGACTTCACCAAACATTGATGCCTGGGTCTCATCTCCAGAGATCTGTCATTGGTCCCAGGTGGGGTCCAGGCATCAGAGCCTTTGAAAGCTCTCAGATAGTTCTAACGTGCATGCCCTGAGGTGGGTGGAGGGAGGCCTGGGCCAGAGTGGTCACTGGAGACAGGACATGTATTGGGGCCTGTGGACAGCGGCTGTGTGACAGTATCAGTACAGACTTGGACAGAGAAGGGGCTTTTAAGGAGGAATGGTCATGACACAGTGGACTGGAGGAGCTATTTGGGTTGAGAACCTTGACCCTTCCCGTCCCTCTGAGTTGGGCCATTGAAGAAAACGCCTTCCTTTGAATGAGTGGGCTTCACGAGGGCAAAGCCAAAGTTAGATCATAGGAGAGAAAAAGACCCTTGTGCTCTGGAAGGAGACACTGGGAGTTGCAATTCTGGGCTCCCCAAGCCCACAATCAGACACACAGAACTCAGGCCATTATGTTAATGATCATGGCATGTACAGTGAAGGGATACAGACTGATGTCAGCACAGGGAAGAGGCACTGAGCAGCGTTCAGGAGACCACAGGCTCCATCCTCCTCCAGTGGAGTCCTGGGGATGGCGCTTGTTTCCCCTGGTCACAATGATGGCAGCACAAGGGAGCACTGCCAGCCAGGGATGTTCACTTGGTCTCAGTGTCCAGGGTTTTTATGTGGTGTTGGTCACGTAGGCATGGCTGGCGGCCTGATGGCTGACATGAGGCTCTACCTCCTCCAGAGCTCTATCTGATGGCCCAGGGCCCCCCACAGTCACACTGTTTGCATAGACTGTGTGGCCTGGCCCAAGGCTCCCAGGTAAACAAAGACACTCTATTCGGGTGGACCATTCCTGGGCCTTACAGGTTGTCTTACAGGTTACCTCCAAGGAGTTGAGCAAGAACTAAACCTTTCCTGGGGCGAGGTAAAAACCCTTTGCTGCACAGGTGTGAATGGCAGCGGGTTGGGGCCTCAGTAGCCCAAACTGCCTCTCGGCCATGCTGGCGAGACCTGCTGCTGCTGTCCCCACAGATGTGCTGTGTCCCCGCTGGCAGCTGCCCTGACTAGCATAGGGTCAAGTCTGAGCACCCCACCCCATCACACATCAGCCCTGTGGAGGCTGATGCTTCAGCGAGTGGCTGGATGCGCCAGATTGAAGGCCCTCCTCACGCCCTCCTTATTCCAGGCTCTTGTGGAACCAGTGAGGAGCCACCTTGAGGCTGCTTACTGAGGGACTGAGGTGCTGAAGGGAAAAACGCTTGGTTTCCCCAGAGCAGGAGTGCCACTCCTGTGCTGTGCTCTGCGCCCTACCTAAAGGCTTGGGTGTATTGGTGATGCTTCTAGAGGCCTCGTTGTTTTTGTATGTTGCTTTGTGTTGCTTCTCCCCCTATGGATTTGTCACCCCACTTCCCCTAGGTGACGCAGACGCAAAGGATTACTCAAAGCCCGTCTCTTCTGAGCAGCAAGAAGCCCCAAAATGGTTAACTTCCCTGGGAACGCTCCAGCGAGAGACATCCCTTCCTTGGGAAATTAACCCTGAATTGGGGTTCTCTTCCTGCATATATTCTCCAGACCAGGAAGTTACAGGAAGAGAACATAGGTGGGGTTATAGTTTAACAATATAGGCTGGCAACTTTCAGTGAAACAAGCCAGATGACATTCCAGTAGACAATTAAGTGATCTTAGAGCAATTTCTCAGTATTTTTACATAACATTCAGTAACTAGTCTGTCCTTGAGCCAGCAACCTTGCTCTGCACAAATCTTTATCTTACACCAGAGACTTTATAGCCTGAGGAAAATTTCCAGTCCTCCACAAGGTCAATATTTGAAACTGCAAGGCTTTGGAAAACCAGGCCCTGTGAAGTACATTTGCTTTATAGTATATTCCACATTTGTACATGTTTGTGTGATCATGGGGTAGGTGAACTGCCATGCCACTGCATTTCCCGAGTATTTCGGGTTCATTGTCATGGAAAATAAGACCACGAAGGCAAGGACTTTGGCTTTTTCATAGGTGCACATTGATCCTGAGGCGAGACCCCCCCCCCCCCCCCCATTAAATCCATAATGTGTCAGCTCCCATAAAGAAGGAATTTTTTATTTTCCTTTTTAAAAACAGACCTTTCCCCCTCACTGGCACAGTGGGAGTTGGTGATGTTGGCTTGTCTTACTACCATGAACAAGTCTCTTTTTAGGAAAGCCATTTTTCCCACCTCTTGCCAAAGCCAGATATACAGCCAGTGAGAATGACTGGCCATCCGTGCTGAGGACAGCAATCGCTTTTGTGAGCATCATACACAGTACCAGATCGTGGTTGGTGTTGGCGAGACAGAAATTTTGTTGACCCAATTATCCTGGAAACCAGCTCGGGAGTTTTGTTTGTTTATTTTGTTTTTAGTTTTGTCTTTTCATTTTACTTGAAACTCTTGTGTATGTTTTGTTTTAAGTGAAACCCAAAGACCTGGTAAAAGCACCAAAAGTTTTAAGTATGTTTGAGTGCCTGTGACGAGAAAGGAAAGAATCCCATTCAGAGTACACACAGAGAATGAATTTGAATTTTGGAGAAAGTATTTCTGAACATCATTCTTTTTGGTACAGCTTTATCGTAGTGACAGCGACAGTTCAACGCTGCCCCGGAAGTCCCCCTTTGTCCGAAATACTTTGGAAAGACGAACCCTTCGCTATAAGCAGGTGTGTGCCCATAGACCAACATGGAATCTGTAATTACTCTGGGAGTTATTTCTGCAAACCCTTAAAAGGTAATGTTTCAGGTCATATTAACTAGAAGGTAATATTTTTATTTCCTTGTTTACTTAGCATTTAATTTTTGAAAGCATATATAATGTTACCAATATTTCTTAAGTTAATATCATGATTTCAGATAATTTGTGATCTTTACATTCTTACATGTAATAAATTAATAAATAGTTGACCATTTCTATAAAATAGGTTCTTTTTTCTTTTTTGACAGGAGAATGTATATAGTTTAGAAAATTTGAGTTTTTCAACATAAAGCATTCTTCTACATAAGACTGTTCTATGGTTTTCATTTCCTTTACTTACCAAGTTTTTTCTTTATAGCGTGCCAGTTTATAAAGTTTTGGTGCTTTCAGTTTGCAAGCTAGTGGTTCCCTATCTTTTCTGGGCAAGAATCCTTTAGGCTACATATACTAAAAGAAAAAAAAAATCCCAGATTTTCATGTAGTAATTGTAGTAAGAGTACCTGCAGACTGAGAATAATAAGAAAGTACATAATTCAGCTACGAAAGTGTTTCTCGGCAGCAACACTATTGACGTTTTGGATGGATCGTTCTTTTCTGTGGGGTCTGGTGCACTGTAGGGTGCTGGCACCATTGCTTCTCATCCCACTGGAGGCCAGTAGCATGCCCACCCCCCATTTTGACAACCAAAGATGTCTCCAGACATTGCCATTGTCTCCTGGGGGACCAAATCCCCCCGGATTGAGAGCCACGGAGCTCTACTATGAATTCAGCAGTGCTTTTAAATGATTTTGTATTTATTAAATTATAGCCCATATTTCTATTTAAATTCTGTGTCTGTGCAAAATAGTGCTATGCGTGTGTGAAAAGCATGCACTTAGTCCACTGAACAATGTTGATCTGCTCTAGGCTCTGTTTCCCATTTGATGGGAAGCACTGCTCTTAGCTCCATAACCAAAGGTCTTTTCTCCTCTTAGGACTTTTTTGAACATAGCACATTTGCTTACTTGAGGCTTATATGGGAAAGAAAGTTTTTTGGCAGCTCGTGTGTGTGTGTGCATGGGTGTTTATATATACCGTTTTAAACAAAAAAAGCACTCGTGGTTTATGACATGCTGTTTTTCCCATATAGAGTAGATAATTAAGATTTTTCCACGTCAATATATTTTTTCAACTGTTTACAGTGGCTGCGTTTTATGCTGGCCTTATAATTTATTTAATCAGTTTCCTGATGTCATATATTTAGGGTTTTTTTTTTTTTTTCCTGTCATAAACCTTAATTGGACCTCTTTCTCATGTCAACAGTTGTGCCTTTCAGGTAAAAGTCAAAAATGAAATTTCACAACCAAAGAAAACGCTCATTTGTTGGTTTTAAACATATATTATCACATGACACTTCAGGAAGATTGTGCCCATTTTTGATCCTGCCAGCTCCACGTGCGAGAGCCTATTGCTCCATACTTTTGCAAATATGTAGGTCATCACTAAAGAAAACAATTTGCTGTTACTAACCTTGATCTTGAACTGGAGATTTACATTCATCTTGCCCAAATCTATGTTTTTAACCTTGGGCCACGCTTAAGGAAATACCTGTGTCTGACCTATCTCCTAGTAATTGTGGAAGAACCTTCTAGAAGGCCTGAGCGGGCCTACCGTGAGCCAAGTGTGTGCTCACAGCCACCGTCTTGTGCAGTCCTGCAGGTCTTCTGTGGCTGAGCTCATGGCCCGCACCTCCCTGGACCTGGAGCTGGATCTCCAGGCGTCGCGCACGCGGCAGAGGCAGCTGGACGAGGAGATCTGCGCCCTTCGCGAGCTGAGGCAGCGGCTGGAAGACGCCCAGCTCCGAGGCCAAACCGACCTCCCGCACTGGGTGCTCCGGGACGAGCGCTTCCGCAGCCTGCTGAAGGAAGCCGAGCGGCAGGTGAGAGGCCACGGCCCGGCTCCTGCCTGCTCAGGGCCGCAGCGCTTTGCCCGGTTGTGCTGGCCTGGAATGAGCATCTCAGGGAATGAGACTATAATCTCCATGATCCAGGCACTTGTCTTAGGGAGCCAGTGCTCTGCCTACCCGGGCTGGGAGGCTCGCATTTACGGTGGTGCCAGCACGCATCTGGAGGCTTTGGGGGCTGGAGGGAACGATCCCGGGCCCTCCCCAGGTTGTGGGAGGAATGTTCTGGGTCCCCAGTCTGCCCGGCCTGTCTCCAGGTACCCCTAGTGTCCCCTGTGAAGAATTCCAGGGGTCTTGCTCCCCTCTGGGTCTCACTGATGGTGGTTGGTTCTGCTGGGCTCCAGGGCTGACGGTGGGCTCATTCATCCTGCCTTTAAGAAATAGCAATAGAAATGTCTTGTTCATCAACCATTGCTGTTCCAGACAAGACAGACCAAACTTGACTACCAGCAGGAACAGGCAGCTGAAGAGATGCTGAAGAAGGCCTCCAAAGAGATCTACCAGCTGCGAGGGCAAAGCCACCAGGAGCCCGTCCAAGTGCAGACCTTTAGGTACGGGAGACACGGAAACCTGCGCGGCCCTGCTGGGCACTGCTTTCCTCTTACTGTTATGACGTTGCTAGGATAAAAAGCAAAGTGAGTTGAAAAAGCCCAGGGAAGTTGAGGACAAAGCAGGAATCCATGGTAACCAGCATCCCCACTACTAGTAGTAGTTCCATGTTTTCTCTTGATCTTTTTTCCTACACACTGTTTTCTTATGCTACCCGAAATCATAATGTAGGTTCAATTTTGCGTTTAGCTTTTTTAAAATTAAAATATCCCATATCGCTACGTAATCTCTTAACCTTATTTAACTGTAATGTTTCATCTAGTAGGTTTAATTTACCCAACTACTCTATTTTGTGATATGCTGCTGCTTTCCAAATATTTCCTATTTGTAAGTAACAGTGATTTACATACATATACATGTCACTTTTGCTTTTTTCATTAATTTTTGACTGAAACAAAATCTACATACAGGAAAGTGTGCATATCGTATAATAGTTCGGTGATTTGTCACAAACTCACCGTCACAAGAATCAAACATTATCAGCACCCCCAGATTTCCCACACTATGGTTACCACTGCCTTGAATTCTAATAGCATAAATTAATTTCGCCTGCTTTTGTTTTTTTATAAGAGGGGAATTACACATATGTATCTGTGAAAAATTAAGGTGAAATTCACAGAACATAAAAGGAACCATTTTTAGGTGACCAGTTCAGTGACATTTGGTGCGTTCACAATGTTGTGCAAGCACCACCTCTATCTACTTCCAAAATATTTTCATCAGCCCAAAAGGAAACCGCCTTGTACCCATTAAGCCATCACTCTCATTCCTGCCTCCTCCAGCCCTGGCAACCCTGAATCTACTTTCTGTCTCTCTGGCTTTGCCTCTTCTGGCTATTTCGTATAAAGTGGGGTCTTTTGTTTCTGCCTTTTTTCACTTAGCATAGTTTTTGAGGTTCATCTACATTGTAGCACGTGTCAGTGCTTCATTCCTTCTTATGGCTGAATAATATGTGCCTGACTTTTCGCCTTAATTTTTGTATATCCTTAATATTCATGTCCCCATCATAAAATAGCTTAATTGTCTTCCTTCAATTATGATTTAGAACTCATTCGTTCATATAGTTTTTCATGTTTTTATTCATTTATTAATGAAACAAATATTTCCTGAGTGCTTACTATATACCAGACACTGTTCTAGGTACTGGAGAAAAACAAATCCCTGCCTTCGTGAGGGTTCATAATATCTGTTGAAATTTAGAGAATCTATATACAAATGGATGTGTGGTTGGGAATTTAAATTCAATCTGTTCTGTGGTAAGAAAAGCCATCGCTGATACGAGAGCCTCCTGCCCGCTTTCAGTATCTGCGGATGAGGTTCTAACCTGTGGTTCTTTCCAATCCCAGGGAGAAGATAGCATTTTTCACAAGACCAAGGATTAACATACCTCCTCTCCCAGCCGACGACGTTTGATGTCGTGCATTGTGCACATGAAGTATTTATCTGTCTGTTTTATTTTCATGAAGTACTTAGACTAGCTAAATTTGTCTTTAAAATATTTGTGCAAAGCTATTAATATACACATTTTGTAAAAAAAAAAAACCCCAAAAACACATATATCTATACATATATATTTTATAATAGCGACGGCAACAGGGCTTGGTTTTTCCTTGTTGTGAAATCGACATCTCTGAAGACAGGTTATTTTATTAAAAAAGATCAACTATCATGTTAAGAGTGTACAGTTTTTACGCTGTTTTATTTGACTTAAAGGCTGGAAGACAGAAACGAAGTGAGTTCAGGCAAATTCACTGTATTGTAATTTATTTATAGTACTTTTTTTTTCCTTGAAGGAAAATACTGACTTTAAGTTGTATTTTAAGACTGAAATTTTGTTCTTCAGTATTTGTCATGCAGTAGAATGGAACTTGGGGCCGGTTTTATTTCTGACACCCGAAGTGCAAAGACTGTGTGCTAAATTTGTCGATCGTATCAGCTTCTTTTGTGCATTTACCATGAATATTGTACACTTTCACTCTCTCTCTGTTACGTTAAAATATCAACTGCGGTGGTTCCATGCAATTCACGAGCTGCGTATGCTTTGCAGAGCTCAGTGTTTAATGTGTACTGTGTGCTGATCGCTCCTCATTTCTGTATTGTCTACTAATGCATCTTTCCATGCTTACCATGAGTCCAAAGCAGGTGACAGAGCCTCCGGCGTCCTGGGTTTCAGCCCGCCTGTCCACGGTGGCTGTGCACACCGCCCCTGCTTGTCAGACCACGCGCAGCGCTGCCGTTGCCACCCACTCTGATTGCAGCAGACCGGGGGTGGCGGTGGAACTCCTGTGGTACTACTGTTTCATGAAGGAAAGTGAAGAGAGAGCTAGCAACGCGCATTTTCAGCCACCCTGCTGGCGAATATAGAGTGAGGACAGAGACGTGATGACCTCTGAACTGCTTTTGTTGTGGAGGGAAGGACATGTGGGTAACTGGAATTACCCAGTGAGTCACTTACAGGAGAGTATTTGACTGAAGTCAGAATGCCCCCATACTGGGGTCTACCCAGTATTCCTCAAGAAATCATAGAACTAGCTCATGAGGGGAAAAAAATTTTAACATAATAAAAATATGCCATTATTCTTTTAAATGCCAAATGATATAAAGATTTTGCCTCGTACATATTTATTCTATGTGAGATGCACTCCTTCCCGTGGCCTCGGGTGAGAAGGCAAGGCGGGTCACAGGCCATGTCAGAGACAGCAGAGCTGTCGGCCCTTGTCTCTCTTACCCTCCCTTGCAAATGTCCCTTTGAATTGGGTCTTCCTCTTCCCATCAACCTGTCACCTCCCTGCTTGTATGCCCTGCTTTCCTTTTTTCATTTATAAAAATTGAATTTTGTAAAAGCATTTCATTGACACGCGACCTATCACGGACAATGGAATTTGTCAGTGCTGGTAAGACTGAAATCTCTATGCTTTTCTTCACGGATGTTGTCTCTTGCTATGTATTGCTGCCTCTGGTCTCGCTTTTTTTTTTTTGCCTATTCCTTTATTATATGTACCCACACCAGAGACCCAAAGCATCAGTCCTTAGCAGAACTGCCAGTCGGCAGACAGCACTGCTTGAAACTTTAAACTCATCCTGGCCGCCGGGCTTGGGGGCTGCGGAGGGGCACAGTGGCTCTGTATGGGATGCACGCTCACCTGCTCTGTGCAGGGGTCCCCTGCCTGGCCACTGGGCCTGGGCTGCTTTTTAGCAGCTGCCCAGTCAGCTCTCTAAGCAGTGTGGTGGGTTGAGGCAACTTTTCTGCCAACCCCTGTTAAGTAGCAACATGGGGAAAACCCACTCAGCTGGTACAGAAAGCCCCCAAACAGGTGTTTTCCAATAAATGTCACCGCCCAGTTTATACAGATTTCTATCTGGAGGGCTTCCCTCCCTGTCCCCCCCACCCCCAAGGTTATTTTTAAAAAAGAACCCCACCTTTGCCCAACAAGAGACAAACGCAACCCCTGCTTTGGCTTCAGTGCAAGGAGCACCATGTCTGCCACTTTCCACTTTCACCGCCTCCTGCAGGTGAGGGGGCGAGGGGGCAGCTGTGTCACCCGCAGCAGCAGAGGCTGGCCCGGGCAGGCAGGGGGAGCACCTGCAGCTGCTGCTTCTTCATGACTGGCTTTGAAACTGCCACCCGCAGAAAATAGCCCACACGCCAGAGAGTGAAGTCCCCGTGCCGTGAGGGGGGGTTTCACCTGCTGCTTCGGTTTGTCCCTATCCCGGGCCGCATGGGAAAGAAAACAGCCCTGTTTCCTGAGCAGTTCTGATCCAGAAATGATCAGAATTCTGCCACCAGGGGTCTTTAGAACTAGTGCTCAGGATAAAGGGGAATTTGGTTTTCACTTCATCTAATCACTATAAATTGTTAGGCTTTGGTGGATAATCACTGAGATCAATAACCTGTTGTGGGAATAAGTTGTAATCGGTATTCATCTCTTTGTTTTTGTCACTGTTCTCTCTAATTGTGTCCTTTGTATCGTTTGAAAGTATCTCTTCTATAAAATTAAACTAACCTGCCTTAAGAACAGAGTGGAGATGTGTGGTTTTTTTGAAAACATTTTTAATTATGGAGACTTAAATATATTAAAAACATATATTTTAAAATATAAAAAGAGAAGTGTGAAATCAGAGAATAGTAAACTGACCGCACATGCAGCCCTCGCCTGACTCAACACACATCCGTCACGGCCAGTCTCGTTTTGTCTGCACCTCTACCCACTTCTCCTTGTGATTTGAAGCAAATCCCATACACTTTATCATTTCATCTGTAAAATATTTCAGTGCATATTGCTAAAAGAGATAATAAACATATACACAATACCCTTAACACATCTTAAAGGCATTTGATAATTCTTTAATGTTATTAAATATCCAAGGTTCACTTTTCCAGTTGTCTCATGTTCTTTTTCTTTTTAACTCTTAGAACAGAATCCAAATATGATCCACTTATTGGGATTTTTTTTAATGTCTATTTTTATTTTTGGTAACAGCTTTCCTGAGATATAATTTACACACCATACAATTCATCCATTTAAAACATATAATTCAGCAGTTTTTACTATAATGAATTGTGCAGTTATCACCACAGTTTTAGAACATGTTTATCACCCCAAAAAGAAGCCCCCTGTGCCCATTAGCTGTCTTGCCTCTTCTGGGCATCTCCTATAGATGGAATAATACAATGTGTGGCCTTTTGTTCCTGGCTTCTTTCACTTAGCGCGATGCTTTCAAGGTTCATCCGTGTGTAGCACATGTCACTACTTCGTTTCTTTTTGTGGCTGAGTGATCTTCCATTGCGTGGGTCGACCACATTTTGTTCGTTCATCAGTTGATGGGACGTTTGGATTGCTTCCACATTTTGGCTAGTAAGAATGATGCCGCTATGGACTTTCATGATCCAGACTTTTGTGTGGATGTATGTTTTCATTTCTCTTAGGTCTCTGCCTAAATGGAGTTGCTGGGTCATATGTTAACTTCATATTTAACCTTTTGAAGAACTGCCAGACTGCTTGTCACAGCGGCTGCACCATTTTACAGTCCCACCACAGTACCAGGGTTCCAATTTCTCCACATCCTGGCCAACGCTTGTTATGCCGCTTTGATTACAGCAATCCTAGTAGGTGTGAAGAGGTGTCTCATTGTAGTTAGGTCTGTTTTTAATCTACAAGATCAGCTCCTCCCTCCCATACACACACACACACAAACACAAACACTCATAATTTGTCAAAAAGAGGTTGCATGTCCTATAAGTCTACTTTCTGGACTTAGCTGATTGTATACCTGTGGTGTAGTTTAAAACATTTATCTGATTTTATTACCTATACATTGGTAGTTGGGTCTAGAAGCTTGATTACATTCCATTTCATTTTTTTTCTTTCTTTTGGCAGGGAATGGGTGGTATGTTCGTCCATCAGGGGGCTTACAACGTCTCGTGTCCTTCTGTAATGTTAGCAACTGCTGATAATCACTGCCTAGACCCGTTAGTGCACCAAGGGTTACAAAATGGTGATATTCTAATTCTACCAATTTTTTCTACTTAGTTGAAGTACCTAAAGGGAAACTTACTCATCTGTTTGGTATATATACCCTGCGGACCGTTTATATGGGAGAAGCAAGATAAATGCTTGATTATTTATTTACCAGTTTTCAAAATAATGAATTGTTTTGCTACCACTGTACAGTGGTGACTGATTTGTTTTTTGTTTTTGAGATTTTTTTTTTAATATTATTATTAACACATGGATTTAAATGTGTTTGTTGCGTGTTATTCATTGGAGTTGTTATCCTTATCGATGCCCGAATTCTGCTGTCTTTGGCTGGGGGAGCCTCTCCTGGCGGGCTCCCAGGCCATTTTGTTATGACCCCAGTCATGTGAGATGCCATCCCGCACGACCTGGAACTAGTCATTTCCCCAGGGCAAGTTGGTTTCCCAGTGCTAGGAGTACTTCTTACTACTAGGTTGGTCATTGTTTTTAGGCCTTTTCAATGGATAGCGTTAGATGATACTTTCTTTTTTTTTAAGTGTAAGAAAAAGATGATAAAATTAAAATTAGAATATCACATAATTACTCCTTTGTTTTGTCCCATGTCACACATACACAGCAGTTTCAGGATAACAGTACCAACACTGCCACCAACAATAGAATTACTGAAAACCATTTGAAATTTTTCTTGCAGTTATTTTAGTCCTTAAAGTATATCTCACAAGGAATGTGCAGCCAAATCACCGTAATGTACAGTAGTTTGGAATATTTCCTTTCTGTGTGCTTAAGCTATCAGTTGGACATGTGTTTTTCACTTTATTTTCGATTTTTATGAATCGGTCTTTTCAATTTTAATTTTGTAAAATATTGACATGGTTCAAAAGACAAATCTGCAAAACAAGGTATATTCAAAGGAGTCTAATTTGTATTCTTGCCCCTCTACCCTATTTCTTCCCTCTCCTTACAGGTAACCATTTAAGAAATATTGTTTTTCCTTGCATAGTTTCTTTTTAATATAAGCAGATATATAAACATATGTAAATGTGTATATACAAAGAAGTACGTATG